TACAAAAGAGTATAAAGCTTGTTTTGAGAATGTGCTTGAAAACTATTATAAATCGTTAAGCCTGAAATTTAGTAAGCTAACACATATTAATAAAATTTTTCAAGAAAGCATAGACATATTTCAACACAAAGTTCCAACAACTGCTTTAATTAACAGAAATTATATTGTTCCCAAAGATACCATAACACTGCAGGGAAAACAAACACTAAAGAAAGAGTGGGTAATTAAGCTGCCTCACTGATTAATGTCTACAGTTCTGGACAAAGGAAAATGCGTTGTTCAATTGGCATGGAAAATTAGACCACTGTTGAGTGGTGGTTTAATTATCTTTATAGTATTAATCCCTGTCTTTAGTATTAGACTATAAAACAGATAAGCATGTGGCTTCAACTGATTACTTTCAGAATCTAAAGAATATTTAAGCAGAAATATCTTACAATCTTTATTTCCAGAAAAACAGTAGGATGAAAACATTCAGAATATTACTGAAAAGGTAATAAAATATTAGACTGTCAGCTACCCTTCACATAGTGGTGGTGATTATCAGTAGGACATGTCAGTACTCAACAGAATCAAAGCCAAGAGACTTGATCCAATTAATGCCTAGACCTGTCATCTGAAGAAATTGCAACCCAAAGATGTTAAATGATTATTTCAAGGTCACACATCTAAGTACTTATAAAACAGACCATATCCTTGGTTTCCTGACTCCTAGGAGTCTAATATCACTCTTTCCTTTATACCACACTGCATACTATGAGGTCATTTTTCTATCTGATAGCCCACATTCTGAGAACCTTAGTTGCTTCCTATGTGACTGAGTTACTGCTCATTCTGGTGTGAAAAAGAATTGAAATTAGAGAAACTCTAGTTTAAAAAAAGAAAAATAAAAAAAAAAAAGAAACCCTCCCCACTCCAACAAACAAACAAACAGAGAAACACTACTAAGAAGTAGTTGCCGATTTACTTCCAGTATTTCAAATCCATTTTGAGAGCATTTATATATAGAGGATCATAATCTTAACTATGTTAACCTCAAAGTTTGTCCAAGTAAAACAAAGTAATGTCTGGTAACAATAGGTAATGTCTGGGCCACTACTAATGATAATGAATCAAAAAGTATGATCTATTTTCTTATTTATGATTGAGGAGTACAGCTGTGTTCCAGACATTCAAATCAGAGGCAGCTGAAAATCCAGCATTCATTATACTGGCTCATATGTAAAAATTAATGGTATTTCCTTATCATGAAACATTACTTACATGTCCCCAAACATGGGCAAACCATTATCTCAGGAAGACCATTTAGGCATTTAATTTAGTAATATAAGAATATCTACTTTTTACTCTACAAGGTCCAAAACACATAAAACAATGCCCACCACACAGTATGCACTCAGTAATTATTTGTAAAATGAATTATAGAAAGAGATCTCTTTTCAACCTGCCCCAAATTAGAAATTTCCTACATTATAATGTTTTGTTTAGTGTCACAAATAAATAATTTCTTATCACTATGAGGGAAGAGCCTAAGCCTTAAAAAACAGGATTCATCTCCAAACATTTTCCGTTTCAAAACCCATGCCAGGCTAACAGAGACATTTTTAAAGGAAAATTCTCATCTGTACTTGTCATTAAGTATCTACAAATTTTCCTCACAAAGATTTCCAAATGCAATGCCAGTAGTCTTTGAAAATCTGTCGTAAGGTCTTTCTTATGCAAATATACTAAACAGGTTAACAAAAATTTGGCTTTGCCTTGTCATAAACCTCATTTAATTAAAATAATATAGTATTAACCTTACACATTCATCAATGATTTATTTTCTAAAGATACAGTGAAACATAAAAGCCTAAGTGTTTTCCTGCTTCTTAGTAGTGTTTCTCTAAAATACAGAAACAGAAGCTGAAATAATTTCTAAACTTGATGCCTTGATTTTTTATTTTTTTTTTTTAAATTTTTTTTCAACGTTTATTTATTTTTGGGACAGAGAGAGACAGAGCATGAACGGGGGAGGGGCAGAGAGAGAGGGAGACACAGAATGTGAAACAGGCTCCAGGCTCTGAGCCATCAGCCCAGAGCCTGATGCGGGGCTCGAACTCACGGACCGCGAGATCGTGACCTGGCTGAAGTCGGACGCTTAACCGACTGCGCCACCCAGGCGCCCCAATGCCTTGATTTTTTAATGTGTATTGGTCTTCCAGAGAATTACCATTTTCTGGCAGATAAACCCCTTCCTACCTGCAAGAACAAAGGATATCTTCACACAAGGACAGTAGACAACAGCTTTTAAAATGTTTTGGACTTTTTTCATTTAAATTTTATCTTTTCAGATAAGTAATAGAGTCACAAGGCAATCTAGATTTATTTTGATAAACAAAAGTATATCCAATCTGTTAAGTCTCTAAACTAAGCCATAATAGACCAAGCTCAAATACTTAACATACATAGTTTGTAGATCAGGGTTTTAAAATGGGTCCTGGCATTAACAATGGCAATAACAGATAAAAGCCCTGGGGCATCTGGGTGGCTCAGTCAATGCTGCATAGGACTTTGGCTCAGGTCACCATCTCAGGGTTTGTGGGTTCGAACCCCGCCTCGGGCTCTGTGCTGATAGCTGAGCCTGGAGCTTGCTTCAGATTCTGTGCCTCTCTCTCTGACCTTCCCTTGCTCATGCTGTCTCTGTCTCTGTCTCAAAAATAAACATTAAAAAAGAAAAGAAAATTAAAAGCCCTTACTTTTATGCTCCCTGAAACTGTTTTCTTATCTATAAATAAGGTGGGTAGATGAGATCATCCCTAAGGATGATTCTGTAAGAATTTTACTCATTGGACCAGGCTTTTCTTTTTTTTTTTTTTTTTTTTTTTTTTTTTTTTTCCCACGTTTTTATTTATTTTTGGGACAGAGAGAGACAGAGCATGAACGGGGGAGGGGCAGAGAGAGAGGGAGACACAGAATCGGAAACAGGCTCCAGGCTCTGAGCCATCAGCCCAGAGCCTGACGCGGGGCTCGAACTCACGGACCGCGAGATCGTGACCTGGCTGAAGTCGGACGCTCAACCGACTGCGCCACCCAGGCGCCCCCGGACCAGGCTTTTAAATTCAATTAATAATTGTAAGACTAGAAACTGGCAGTGCCTGACTTTTCACAACTAAACTATAATAAAAACATGTTATTTTAAAATGTTTGTATTCATTATAAACATTTTTTACTAGACCATTGAAAGAATCTGAATTTTTAAGACCTTATATTTAGATGTTACAGTATGAGATGGTTTTTTAATTTTTCTTTAATAGCAACATACCTGTAGGTTGAGTAGAGGAATAAATTACACCTCTCCGTTTTCAAAAGTTACATTACAAAGACTAGGCTACAAAACTTTTATAGATACTTTCTGTTAATGAATTATTAAAAGTTAACCATCATAATAATTTACCTTAGATTAAAGTGGACAAATATGTATTTTCCAAAACAAAGAATAGGTTTTTTTCATTTTCCTGGTTTTATTAAATACAGAGAAAAGAGGCACAGGAAAAGATAGAGGGAGAGAGGGAGAGACAGAGAGACAGACAGAGGGAAGGAAGGAGAGGTAAAAAGGCAGACTTTTACTACAGCTTGAAAATTCTCACTTAATTAATAAACCAAAAGAAAAAAAATTGGAAAAGATACTAGAAACAAGTATGAGAAGTCATTTCTGTGTTATGCGCAGAAAAAAAAAGTGCATATCTTATAATTTTCTCACTGAGTTAAAGTATTTGTTTTACATTTTCATCTTTCATTTAAAAAGCTTTAAAATATTCACCAAGCAACTGTGTTTAATTCATAAATTAGAAAAAAACTTAAGCCATAATTCTGAAAGTTATGTTAATAATTTTAAGATACTACGTTTGAAATAATTTTTAAAACAACTATTTAATCTTCTTATATTGAAACCCTCAGAGGACTGAAATGGAATCTGCTCAAACTGAAAGATCTTAAAGAGCCAGAGTTCAAGTGACTTCCCTAGGTCTCATGTTTCTGTGTTCTTTCCACAACAGCATGAATGGAATTTACAAATCAGCAAAACAAATTAGCAAATTTAAGCATTTTATCACCAAATCTAGTAGGAAATTATTCATTAGTGATTAAAATGTAGCCATGGGAGTTCACTGAGTCTGCAAAAATAAAGGCTGCCAAGTTAAAGACTTGTCTTATTGCATAAGCCATTAAAAAAGTAAAATTTAATATGAAAGAATATAAACCTTCCCTCTAATCACTGTAGTAGTCCTTTATAACTCCTCCTTCCTCTTCTCAAAATATTGAAACATTAAGAATCATTTTCTATTAGAATAATGTAATACTATGGGGAAAAAAATGAAAACTAGGTTTATATAAAAGTTACCCATAAGAAATATCTTAGTAAACATAAACTGACCATTTCCTTGAATCACAGTGAATAAGATGCACTATTAGTGAGCCTAATAACCAACTCAAGCTTTGTAGATGATAAATCTAAAACTATGAATATACATTAATACATACTTTGACCAAAAAACAGCTTAATAAAAACTATGTAATACGCACAAATGCTAAATACCTTTCAGGTATCATATCAAGCTAAGAAAACTCCCTCAGAAAATTATACTTGCTTTAAAAGAATGAAGTTCCCATTTCACATGGTAGCATTTTATAATAAAAACTGATCCAATGTTTCAGGATTCAAAGTTTTTATTTATTTTGTTACAATCCTTTTTGTTAAAAAGAGTTAAAATAGAAAATCTTTTTCTTGTTGGCATCTTAAAAAGTATGAAAAAAACTGATAAAAGTCAAGAAACATAAAAAATGAACTATCCAATTCTTTCACCAATGACTTTTTTAATAAAAGCTTTGTAAAGGAAGAAGGGCTGAACAAAATGTACATTCTATATAGGTCAGTGAGAGTGCAGACTTGCAACCCAATTAACTCAGGGTCTGTTTCAGTTTTGAAAAGACCATAAGCTTTAAAAAGAAAAAAAAAATACAGGCCGCTTGAATTTTTATAAGCAAAAATAAAACACTGAAAAGAGACATCTTCATGAACCAAAAACAAGATGAAGAAGAGTATTGCTCAAAATATTGCATAAGGCTATTGTAGGATTTATTTTGCTATCCCTCGAAAAACTACAGAAGCTTCCTACTTTCCACTAGTACTTGCAACATATTCTCAGGGTTTCTATCTTGAGGCATATCCTGAGCAGACTTGGAAGGATTTTCCAAAATTGTTAAAATAACTTTTAATAGACACATCAGTTTGTACCCTCAAGTTCATTTTGCCATTTAGATTTGCTTCAACCAGCACTTGATCACCCAAGTTTGCTAGCCTTTCTATAGTGCTCTTCAGAGTCTTCAAAGCAGGAAGATAAACACTAACATCATGGGCTTGCACACTGGGCTCCAGGAAATCTTCCAACACCATTCTGGGAAGCAACCTCACAGGCGATCAATCGACTGTGTACCACAACAAGAGTCCAACCTGTGGGCAATGGCAGCTCCACAGCCACGGCGAGGTGGGGGAGCCACTTATTGGTCAACTGGGGCTTCAGGGCAGAGGCATTCCCTGTGCTTCTCACCGCTCTGAACAAATGCTGAGATAGCAGCTCTAAATAAATCTCATTAAACTCCTCTGAAACATCTTTCATGTGAAACCAGTGGAAGAAGTCTCCCGCCTCACCTCACACCACACTCTAGCATCACAGATGACCCTGCAGTCATCAGGCCTGAAGCACACTTGTGCTGGCACATGTGGAGCACACAGATTCTCTCCAGCTTTGATACGGTGCTGCAGATGTGAATAAAGAGCTCCATAAAGTCTTTGCCAGAAATGCTGGCACAAAACTTCATGATGCCATGAGGATGGCATCCAGAGCTTGGTCAGCAGGGGACGACCCCACATGTAGCAGGTCCCAACAGAGCCAATACTCGGTTCCACTCACCTGCAGGCCCCCTGAGAAGGGCAACAAGGCATGGCAGACATGGGGTCCCTAAAACCAAGGCCTCTGTTCCCATCTTCATCTTCCCTCTACCTCCTCCCTTAAAAAGAGCTTTACTGTTTCCACTCTGCTAATTAAAAGGACAGGCATTCCACCACAGAAACTTCTAAATATTCTTTCTAAACTGTACAAAGAAAATTGAAATCATCTTTCACAGAGCCACATTTCACTCTGTTGGTATATGCATTAATACTGTCTTCATCAACCAGGACATATATGTACATACAGTTACATGTGCTTTCTAAAACTGTAGCATGCTTAGGCATACATTTGCAACTGATTTTTATAAACTATAAGATGGACATCTTTCCTCACTGGCAAATACAAATCTACATCATTTTCAGGCTGCTTAGTATTCCATTGTAGTGATGTATAATCAAAGTGACAATTTCCAATTTTTTGCTATGATGAATATGACAATGAACATTTTTCTATAAAATTTTTTGCACATTTATCCAATTATTTCCCTACAGTACATTCAAAGACGAATTACCAGTCAAAAGTTGTGCATTTAAGATCCTAACATGTACATATTACCAAACTGGCCTGCAGAAAAGCTTTATCAACACACCCTTCCACCAGGGACACTGGGTAGTAGCAATCTGTTTAATCTGTAGCAATTTGATAGGCAAAGTAAAATAAATGCTCTCAACCTGCATTGTGGGTGAATTCCATTTTAATGATCATTGCAACTTTTTATTAGGTTTATTTTCCTTGATTTTAAGACCTCTAGTAAAAACATTAACTCTCCACTTTATACACTGTGAATATCTTTCTCAGTTTATCCTTTGTCTTTTCACATTGTTTATGGTGCTCTTTGCTCGTAGGAAATTGAGTCTTTTTTAATGTCAAACCTATTAACCTTTTCTTTGCTACTTCTAGAATCATGCTTTCAAAGTCATGTTTCTGGTACTTTTCAACGTTTTTTTTTTTTTGTTTTGTTTTTTGTTTTTTTTATTTTTGGGACAGAGAGAGACAGAGCATGAACGGGGGAGGGGCAGAGAGAGGGAGACACAGAATCGGAAACAGGCTCCAGGCTCCGAGCCATCAGCCCAGAGCCTGACGCGGGGCTCGAACTCACGGACCGCGAGATCGTGACCTGGCTGAAGTCGGATGCTTAACCGACTGCGCCACCCAGGCGCCCCGTGTTTCTGGTACTTTAATGTTGTTTTATCTTCTTAATTACCTAACTCATTTGGAATCTACTTTGCAGTATTAAATAGCTAGTTGACCAAATACCATTTCACTGAACAATCCATTGTTTTCTCCACTAGTCTGAAATGCCACTTTTATTAATGACAAAAATCCTCATTTGAGACTATTTCTAGACCTTCTATATTTTGTCCCACTGATGTATTTTGTAACTATAACATAGTTATTTTAATGAAATATTCAATAGGACAAATAATCTTTAACAAGTTATCTTTACCATCCTGTCATAGGTATTGATCCAGATGAACTTTAAAATATTGTGTAAGATTCTAAAAATAACCCTACTAAAATTTTGATGGGATTATCATGACCCTGACATACTATATTCCTGCTTCTTTTATTTACCTCTACTAACCAGACTGTAAGTCCCAGAAGAAAAGGGTTTTTTATATTTCCATACACTGCTACACACCCAGCATTTAAAACATCCACCTGGATATCACTGACACTCAACACATATTTGTTAAATGAACAAATATATCAATTACATTGACTATCTAGATAATCTCAGGACATTTAAACTATCTACAATACTGAATCTTCCCACACATTCAAATCATTTATAACTGTCAATAAACTGTTCAGCTCTGTTCACAGAGAAGCCCATGTAATTTATCTTGAAGCCAGGCAACTTACTGAGCACTGAGTCTCCCTCAATTGAAATCATTTTCCAAATGATCTTTTCCTTAATGTTTTCTCTACAGAAAATCCTATTACCTTCAAATCCTATCATAACTTGGACATTTGCTCTTCAATATTTATGTCTCACTTATTTTAATTGCCTGACTGCTTTTGTTATATAACTTCCAAAACAATGCTAAATAACTCCATTACTGGGGTGGCTGGGTGGCTCAGTCAGTTAAGCGTCCGACTTCGGGTCTGGTCATAATCTCACAGCTTGTGAGTTTGAGCCAAACGTTGGGCTCTGTGCTGACAGATGAGCCTGGAGCCTGCTTCAGATTCTGTGTCTCCCTCTCTCTCTGCCCTCCCCCACCCCTCCACTCATGCTCTCTCTCTCTCTTTCTGAAAAATAAAAAACATTAAAAAAATTTTTTAAATAACTCCAGTATTAGCAAGTATCTGTCTTACTTCTAAGTAAAGAGACTTTTTAGGTTTTATCCTCATTGCCCCCCAAAATTTTAATATCATAAATACACCACACTTATGTACTTTATGCATAAAAATTAAGATCTTTTTTTGTCCCCTCATGGGCTAATTTTCAATTACAGTTCCTGTTGAGAATACATGCTCTATATCCAAAATCTATAAAGAACTCACCAAACTCCACACCCGAAAAACAAATAATCCAGTGAAGAAATGGGCAGAAGTCATGAATAGACACTTTTCTAAAGAAGACATCCAGATGGCCAACAGACACATGAAAAGATTCCCAGCATCACTCCTCATCAGGGAAATACAAATCAAAACCACACCCAGATACCGCCTCACGCCGGTCAGAGTGGCCAAAATGAATAAATCAGGAGACTATAGATGCTGGCGAGGATGTAGAGAAACGGAACCCTCTTGCACTGTTGGTGGGAATGCAAACTGGTGCAGCCGTTCTGGAAAACAGTGTGGAGGTTCCTCAAAAATTAAAAACAGATCTATCCTATGACCCAGCAATAACACTGCTAGGAATTTACCCAAGGGATACAGGAGTGCTGATGCACAGGAGCACTTGTACCCCAATGTTTATAGCAGCACTTTCAACAATAGTCAAATTATGGAAAGAGCCTAAATGTCCATCAACTGATGAATGGATAAAGAAGATGTGGTTTATATACACAATGGAATATTACTTGGCAATGAGAAAGAATGAAATATGGCCTTTTGTAGCAACGTGGATGGAACTGGAGAGTATTATGCTAAGTGAAGTAAGTCAGGCAGAGAAAGACAAATACCGTATGTTTTCACTCATATGTGGATCCTGAGAAACTTAACAGAAGACCATGGGGGAGGGGAAGGAGGGAAAAAAAAGGTTACAGAGAGGGAAGGAGGCAAACATAAGAGACTCTTAAATACTGAGGGTGGGGAAGAGGGGAAAGTTAGTGATGGGCATTGAGGATGGCACCTGTTGGGATGAGCACTGGGTGTTGTATGGAAACCAATTTGACAATAAATTATATTTAATATAAAAAAATTAAATCTTAAAGAGAAAAAAAGAGAATATACGCTCTAGTACTGTACCATTAGGTAGGCTGTTTGCTATTGTATTACTTAGTAACAATTATGTTACAGAAAACAGCTTTCGATCCTGAAAAGTTCAGGATCACTGTCCTGTGAACAAAGTCCAGTTCACTGAAAGTCTGTTTTTAAAATTAGAAATGGACAGTGAAATCTATCAAATATTTTCACAGCACCTTTTGACATAACTTTATTTTTACCTATTAATATAATGAATTGAAATAAATTTCTTAATGAAGTAGTTCATATTCTAGGAATAAACTTTAGTTGGTTCCATTTTATCAATCCTTTAAACATTCCTGGATTTGATTTGCTACTACTTTAAGAGTTTTATATGTTAAATCTTATTTTCAGTTAGTCAGAAATTATCTTTTCTTGTACATATTTGCTCATTTATTGTAATATCAAGAAGCATTCAGTAGTTTACAAATATTACTGAGCATTTACTATATCTGGAGTGCTATGCTGGCCTTACAGAAAGAATGTGAAGTTTTCCTATCTGCTATCTTACAGTTGTTTAATTATAGAAATATTCTATTCCTTATATGTTTCCTGTTGCTTGCTTGTAAAACAATCTACATCTAATGCATCATTAGCTAAGATTATTTGAGAATTTTCTTCATGGTTATGGAACCATATTTTATAAATCTTAAAATAGTATGTTTCAGAAAGTTAGACATTTCATTCTGATTTTCAAATTTAATATCACACTACTTTCTTGAATAGCTGTGGTTTTATCACTTTTTTCATTGTCTTCAGTATCTGTAAATATCTCTTTTTTCATGGTTAGATTTGTAAATGCTCACTGTTTTAATGATCTTTTATAATAACAGAACTTGATATAAGTTATAAATTCTACCTTCTTTTTTCAGGAGAGGTGTTCATTACCTATAGCTTCAACCTGCAGCTTCAACATTTGCTTAAGTCCTCTTCCATGCATTTTATTTTGCTTTGCTTTTCCCACCTGTCTAGATTGAATACTTAGTTCATTTGTTTTAGTCTTCCTTTAGTAATAACTTTTAAGGCCACCATTTTTCCTACTTATAGCTTTAGTCACACCATAGATTTTGGCAAGCAGTGGTTGCATTGCTCATTTGTAAATGATCCGTAGTTGCAGTTTTTATTTCTTCTTTGATCCAAGATTAACTTTAGAAAACTTTAAAAACTTCCAGTTAACAGTTTATTGTCGAACTTTTTTTTTTTTTTAATTCCAGCTTTTACTTGCTTCATTCTTATTCCAGAGTTTGTTTACTTGTTTTGGTCAGAGAATGTAGTCCACAAATGTCCTAACTGGGGAATTTATTGAGAGTTCTCTTCTTAAATCTCTTCATTTACTTATTCACTAAACTTCTCCAGTGTCTATTTTAGATCAGGAGTCAGCAAACTACAGCAACCAAGAAATTTGGTCTGCCCACCCGTTTTTGTAAATAAAGCTTTATTGGAACACAGCTATGT